TGGGCTCCAGATGTGATGCGGACTGCGGTTCTGTGAACTGCCTGACCCGGGGTGGGTATAGTCAAGTAGTGTTTACAGAATTTAATTCGTCCTCTAGGGGGAAATTGCTCTGTCGCGGAGCTGCGTAGTTTAAGGTACGCTAATGCGCGATATATAATTTGTGGTGTGTGTGTGTGTACAGTTCTCTCCGTTTGGATTGAACACTTTGCCAGGTTCCTCGAAGATTTAGTTCTTTGTTGGGGGCTGGCCCTCCTGAACGGTACCGCGGATGGATAGTTTTCTACACTTGCTCGAAGGGTACGCTCCGCAATGCGAATGCTGTTCCGTTCCGGAGTACTCGGGTTATCTGTTATGCTTTATCCACCCGTCTCGAACGTATTGGACGGCAGGTCTCTTCAGTACAGTGCAACACTATACGGACGGCTATAGCGATTCCCTTTCTCCGTTGGTGAACACCTTGAAACGGAATCACTTCCGTTTCGAAGACTTGGGGGTGAAGTGTGCGAATTGAATGGGGGAAATGGTATGATCGCGTAGGATAGGCCTTCCGCATACGATGGGGTGGGTTCCTCGCAAGGATATGCGCTCGAACTCCTAAAAGGAACGGTTGCACGAAGCCAAGTTAGGCGACTGGCCGTTTGGTGGTGTGCCGCGTTAATCTACTACCGCGCGCTTTCAACTCCGGAATAACTATATTTCCCCCGTATCAATTTATCGAAACGGAGGTGAGACGGACGGGGTTTCTTGACAAGCCCTGGCCTTCTAGGTGACCTTGGTTTGTCCTACTATTGGGCGGCACGACCCGTAGCGGAGTGTATTTTTAATTTAGTTCCCCCACCCTGGTGTACTTCAGGGGGAGTAGCTTTTAGGTAAATGCGTAAATGCAGTGGGAGGTAATAAGATAATCATTCCGTATCCTACAGCTGGCTTTTATACCGTACTCTGTCCGATACTCGCGCGCGTATTTATCCCTTTAATTGGAAACAGACGTTCCACCTTTTCAGTTCTGACTCGCCTCTGTGATCGCCCACGCGTTCCCAATTCCGAAGGGGTTAAAAATTGACTCGGAGCAGCCTCGTGTCGCCTCCGTGTCCCGTTTCAGTCACCCCGTTTCCCAAGAACCGCCTCAGTTCTCCGTTTAGTCGCCCCGTTTCCCATACCACAACCACTTCGTCTCCGTTTGCTCCCCCATTTTCTTCTCCCCAGTACCGGCCAGGTGGCGGAACAGCAACGCACGCGAGACAAATAAGAGAGCCTGTAATGTTTCCTCGCAAGGTCTCCGTTCGATTCGGGGTCTGGCTTTTTTATTCGGAGGCGCACTGTGTCATATTCTTGGATACAGACTCGCCGTCGTGAGTATGATTTTCCTCCCGTTTGGCCGCGTTCAGAGCGCATCACAAAGTGACAGCTCACACCGCGGATTTTCTCCTGTGGGTCAGATCTCGCAAAGGGAGGCCCTGATGGATCCCTGGGGAACCTAGCAAGGTGTGTGCCATGTTGGCAGAAAAATCGGTGCAGAATTGGAGCTTGTGGGCGCAAAATAATCGCCTCATGCGGGAAAAAACAAGCTACAGTGTCAAGTCCTCGTAGTGGGGCCCGCAGATTTTCTACTGTGGGTCAGATATTGCAGAGGGAGGCCTTAATGGGTCCCGGGGGGCATAGCAATGCGGGTCCCATCTTGGCAGAAAAATCGCTGCAGAATTGCAGCTTGCACGGGCAAACCAATCTGGAGTGCCCTTCGGGTGTCTGGCCCGCGGATTTTCTACCGCTGGTCAGACATCGCAATAAAAGACACTGAGGGGTCCCTGGGGAGGGTAGCAATGCGTGTGCCATATTGATAGAAAAACCGGGGCGGAACTGCCCCTCACGCAGGAAAAATAATCTCCTCTTGCGGAGAAAACAAGCTAAAGTGCCCAGTTTTCGTAGGTTAGACCGCGGATTTTCTACCGTGGGTCAGATATTGCAAAGGGAGGCCCTGGTGGGTTCCTGGGGAGCATAGCAAGGTGTGCGCTATGTTGGCAGAAAAATCGGTGCAGAATTGCAGCTTATGCAGGCAAAATAACCCCCTCATGTGGGCAAACCAATCTGAAGTGCCCTTCGGGTGTCTGGCCCGCGGATTTCCTACCACTGGTCAGACATCGCAATGAAAAACACTGAGGGGTCCCTGGGGAGCATAGGAATGCGCGTGCCGTGTTAGCAGAAAATTCGGTGTGGAACTGCCCCTCACGCGGGCAAAATAATCTGAAGTGCGCACTTTCGGGTGTCTGACCCGCGGATTTTCTACCGCCGATCAGATATCGCAATGAAATTCACTGAAGCGTCCCTGCGGAGTGTAGCAATGTGGGTGCTATGTTGGCAGAAAAATCGCTGCAGAATTGCAGTTTGGGCGGGTAAACCAATCTGAAGTGCCCTTCGGGTGTCTGGCCCGCGGATTTTGTACCGCTCGTCAGATATTGCAAAGAGGTGGACTGATGGATCCCTGGGGAGCATGGCAATGCAGGTGCCATCTTGGCAGAAAAATCGCTGCAGAATTGCAGCTTGCGCGGGCAAACCCACTCGAAGTGCCCACTTTCGGGTGTCTGACCCGCGGATTTTCTACCGCTGGTCAAACATCGCAATGAAACAAACTGAGGGGTCCCTGGGCAGCGTAGCAATGCGTGTGCCATGTTGGCAGAAAATTCCGGGCAGAACTGCTTCTCACGCGGGCAAAGTGATTTCCTCATGCGGGAAGAACAAGCTACAGTGCCCAGTTTTGGTCATTGGGCCTGCGGATTTTCTACTACAGGTCAGGTGTCGCAATAAAAGACACCCAGGGGTCTCTGGGGAGCGTAGCAATGCGGGTGCCATGTTGGCAGAAAAATCGGTGCAGAATTGCAGCTTGTACGGGCACAATAATCTCCTCATGCCGAGAAAACAAGCTATAGTGCCCAGTTTTCGTAGTTTGGACCGCAGATTTTCTACTGTGGGTCAGATATTGCCAAGGGAGGCCCTGATGGGTCCCTGGGGAGCATAGTAATGTGCATGCCATGTTGGCAGAAAATTCGGTGCAGAACTGCCCTGCACTCGGGCAGAATAATCTGAAGTGCCCACTTTCGGGTGTCTGACCTGCGAATTTTCTACTGCTGGTCAGATATCGCAATGAAAGACACTAAGGGGTCCCTGGGGAGCGTAGAGATGTGGGTGCCATGTTGGCAGAAAAATCGGTGCAGAATTGCAGCTTGCGCAGGCAAAACAAGCTAAAGTGCCCACTTTTGGGTCTCTGGCCCGCGGATTTTGTACTGCTGGTCAGATATTGCAAAGAGGGGGACTGATAGATCCCTGGGGAGCATGGCAATGCGGGTGCCATCTTGGCAGAAAAATTGCTGCAGAATTGCAGCTTGCGCGGGCAAACCCACCCGAAGTGCCCACTTCTTGCGGGTGTCTGACCCACGGATTTTCTACCGCTGGTCAAACATTGCAATGAAACAAACTGAGGGGTCCCTGGGGAGCGTGGCAATGCGCATGCCATGTTGGCAGAAAAGTTCGGTGCGGAACTGCCCCTTGTGCGGGCAAAATAATCTCCTCATGCGGAGAAAACAAGCTAAAGTGCCCAGTTTTCTTAGTTTAGACCGCAGATTTTCTACTGCGGGTCAGATATCGCAAAGGGAGGCCCTGATGGGTCCCTGAGACGGATAGCAATGCGTGTCCTATCTTGGCTGAAAAATCGCTGCAGAATTGCAGCTTGCGCGGGCAACCCAATCTGAAGTGCCCTTCGGGTGTCTGGCCCGCAGGTTTTCCACCGCCCGTGAGATATCACAATGAAAGACACTGAAGGGTCCCTGGGGAGCATAGCAATGCGCGTCCCATCTTGGCAGAAAAATCGCTGCAGATTATGGCGGTCACACTGCACATTTATTATTCTGACCATTTTTTTCCCTCTTTCATCCTTTTTTTCGGATTTTCAAGTTCTTGTACTTTTTTTCTCATGTTGCCATACTTTTTTTTTTCAAGATCGTGAAATCTTTCAAAACAATGGTGCCAATATGTTCTCATAGAGCATGGGTAGTCGGAATGAGCGGCACCCCTGGATTAGTGTTTATCACTGATTGATGTCCGGGATCGCTCAATCTCGTACCTCTGCCTCTGAGGTAGAGTCTAGTGGTTACCTGGGCAGGCTGTTATATGGTGTGGCTTGCACCAAGCCTTCCCAGGCACACTTGACTGGTTTCAGAACCAACATGTGAGGCATTTGTGAACTCGGCACATTGTGCCGTTCAAGGCCATCAAGGGGCAAATAGGCCTGCACAGCCCCCATACCGAGAAAGGATAGTTGAAATCTTGACTTGGCAGAAACTCTTTGCAATATCTGACCCGCAGTAGAGGGCCAAATGACCAAACTGGGCACTTTAGCTTGTTTTCCCCGCATGAGGAGATCATTTTGCCCGTGTGAAACGCAGTTCCGCCTCAATTTTTCTTCCAACATGGCACTCACATTGCTACACTCCCCAGGGACCCTTCAGTGACTTTCATTGCGATATCTGACCGGCGGTAGAATATCCGCGGGCCAGACACCCGAAAGTGGGCACTTCAGGTGGGTTTGCCCGCGCAAGCTGCATTTCTGCACTGGTTTTTCAGCCAAGATGGGACCCGCTGTGAGCTGTCACTTTGTGATGCGCTCCGAACGCGGCCAAACGGGAGGAAAATCATACTTTCACGACAAACGACTGCGTATCCAAATCGCGACTCCGAATAAAAAGGCCAGACCCCGAATCGAACAGAGACCTTGCGAGGAAACGTTATGGGTGTCTGTATTCGTCTCGCACGCGTTACCGTTCTGCCACCCGGCTGTGATTAGGACTTGTACAAACGGACAAGACAAACCTGATTTGAATTAAATGAACAACAGACTCCGACCCACAAGAGGAGGGAAAATATTGATTCTCGCACGCGCTACCTGGCTGTACTCGACGCGCATTCACTCAAAAACGAAACGGAGGCAAAAGTTTCTTGATGGTATATCATGACCAGACTTCGAATCGAACGAAGACCTCACAAGCATACATTGGTCAACATATACGAAGGGCGCGCACTACCATTGCGCCACCTGGCCAGTACTAGGAAGAAGGAAATAGGGGAGCAAACGGAGACGGAGTGGTTGCGGTATGGGAAACGGAGCGACTAAACGGAGAACTCAGATGGTTCTTGGGAAACGGGGTGACTGAAACGGGAAACGGAGGCGACACGAGGCTGCTCCGAGTCAATTTCTAACCCCTTCAGAATCGGGAACGCGTGAGCGATCACAGGGGCGAGTCAGAACTGAAAAGGTGGAACTTCCGTTTCCAATTAAAGGTATAAGTACACGCGCGAGTATCGGACAGAGTATGGTATAAAAGCCAGCTTTAGGATACGGAATGATCATCTTATTACCTCCCACTGCATATACCTAAGCTACTCCCCCTGAAGTACACCGGGGTGGGGAACTAAATTAAATACACTCCGCTACGGGTCGTGCCACCCAATAGTAGGACAAACCAAGGTCACCTAAAAAGGCCAGGGCTTGTCAAGAAACCCTGTCCGTATCACCTCCGTTTTGATAAATCGATACGGGGGAAATATAGTCAATCCGGAGCTGAAAGCGCGCGGCAGTAGATTACGCGGCACACCACCAAACGGCCAGTCACCTAACTTGGCTTCGTGCAACCGTTCCTTTTCGGAGTTCGTACGCATATCGTTGCGAGGAACCCACCCCATCGTACACGGAAGGCCTATCCCATACGATCATACCATTTCCCCCATTCAATTCGCACACTTCACCCCCGAGTCTTCGAAACGGAAGTGATTCCGTTTCAAGGCATTCACCAACGGAGAAACCAGGCTACGAAGGGAAACACTATAGCCGTCCATATAGTGTTGCACTGTACTGAAGAGACCTGCCGTCCAATACGTTCGAGACGGGTGGATAAAGCATAACAGATAACCCGAGTACTCCGGAACAGAACAGCATTCACATTGCGGAGCGAACCCTTTGAGCAAGTGTAGAAAACTATCCATCCGCGGTACCTTCGGAAGGCCAGCCCCCAACGAAGAACCAAATCTTCGAGGAACCTGGCAAAGTGTTCAATCCAAACGGAGACACGGCGGACAACCACTTGTCCTTTTCCAATTCGGGCCAGCGCGTCCTTGAGCACGCCTCGACCATGTCCTTTTGTTAACTCCGGCCGCTTTGGCCTTTCGGAGTTTCCTGCGGGCACGAGGCAGCCACGCGCTTTCGGTATTTTCCGCGAGAAAAATGATCTGAAATACTGCTTTTTTGCTCTTGGGTGCAGTTTTGGTTGTAATGTTTTCGGAAGTGGCTGCAAGTCATTGAATGAGCGGCGGGGACAAGGGTTTGTGAAAGATTGGTGGTAGAACATCAAAAACTGAGCCAGAACATGTCCCCAACATGATCAAATCAGTGCTCTGCCCTTCTTAGCAATACAGTTCCCATAGGATTTGACTGAGACAACTGGATGAGTGTTTTAGTGATTTAAAATAATTTTTCAGGCCAAAATAAGAGGCTGAACAGCAGGTTTACTGGTCTGTGATGACGAGTGTGACCGCCCGGAACAGTGCGGCAGTGGGCGGCAGGGCCCGCCGGTCACACCCTTCCTGATGTGCATCCTGCGGCAGTCCTCCTGCAAGATTTGTTCATCCAAAAAACACAGGGAGGTGGTGTTTTGACTGTAGGTAATTCAGAGACCTAGTCATATCTGAGCTGGGCTGTTGATAAAAAGCAGAAGAGCCATTCTTCATCATTTGGGCCTGTTTTCCGTTAATCTTTTGATGTTCTCTCTCAATGTTTCCTTCTGGCCCTATTCTGAATATCAATCGGCTCAATCCCAGTCAGCTCTGAGAATATTTGGATCACAACTAAGCCCAGTAGAAAAAAAAACTCATTTTGAACTTGTTTACTTCTCGGAAACATCCGAACACATGTGGCTGCCTCGTGCCCACGGGAAACTCCGAAAGGCCAAAGCGGCCGGAGTTAACAAAAGGACGTGGTTGAGGCGTGCTTGAGTACACGCTGGCCCAAATTAGAAAAGGACAAGTGGTTGTCCGCCGTGAGAGAACTGTACACACACACACACATACACACCACAAATTATATATCGCGCATTGGTGTACCTTTGACTACGCAGCTCCGCGACAGAGCAATTTCCCCCTAGAGGATGAATTAAATTCTGTAAAACACTACTTGACTATACCCACCCTGGGTCAGGCAGTTCACAGAACCGCAGTCCGCATCACACCGCATTGCCATGCTCCCCAGGGATCCATCAGTCCACCTCTTTGCAATATCTGACGAGTGGTACAAAATCCGCGGGCCAGACACCCGAAGGGCACTTCAGATTGGTTTGCCCGCCCAAACTGCAATTCTGCAGCAATTTTTCTGCCAACATAGCACCCACATTGCTACACTCCGCACGGATGCTTCAGTGAATTTCACTGCGATATCTGACCGGCGGTAGAAATCCACGGGTCAGACACCCGAAAGTGCGCACTTCAGATTATTTTGCCCGCGTGAGGGGCAGTTCCACACCTAATTTTCTGCTAACATGGCACGCGCATTCCTATGCTCCCCAGGGACCCCTCAGTGTTTGTCATTGTGATGTCTGACCAGCGGTCGAAAATCCGTAGGTCAGACACCCGAAAGTGGGCACTTCAGGTGGGTTTGCCCGCGCAAGCTGCAATTCTGCACTGGTTTTTCAGCCAAGATGGGACACACATTGCTATGCTCCCCAGGGACCCATCAGGGCCTCCCTTTGCAATATCTGACCAGCGGTAGAAAATCCGCAGCTCAGACACCCAAAAGTGGGCACTTCAGATTATTTTGCCCGCCTGAGCGGCAGTTCTGTACCAAATTTTCTACTAACATGGCACGCACATTGCTACACTCCCCAGGGACCCCTTAGGGTCTTTTATTGCGACATCTGACCAGCGGTCGAAAATCTGCGGGTCAGACATCCGAAAGTGGGCACTTCAGGTGGGTTTGCCCATGCAAGCTGCAATTCTGCACCGACTTTTCTGCCAACATGGCACCCACATTTCTATACTCCCCAGGGACCGATCAGGGCCTCCCCTTGCAATATCTGATTCGCAGTAGAAAATCCGTGGGCCAGACACGCAAAAGTGGGCACTTCAGATTATTTTGCCCGCGTAAGTGGCAGTTCCGCACCAAATTTTCTACTAACATGGTATGTGCATTGCTATGCTCCCCAGGGACCCCTCAGTGTCTTTCATTGCGATGTTTGACCAGCGGTAGAAAATCTGCAGGTAAGACACCCGAAAGTGGGCACTTCAGATTATTTTGCCCGCGTAAATGGCAGTTCCGCACCAAATTTTGTACTAACATGGCACGCGCATTGCTACGCTCCCCGGGGACCCCTTAGGGTCTTTCATTGCGATATCTGACCAGCGGTAGAAAATCCGCGGGTCAGACACCCGAAAGTGGGCACTTCAGGTGGGTTTGCCCATGCAAGCTGCAATTCTGAAGCGATTTTTCTGCCAAGATGGGACGTGCCTAGCTATGCTCCCCAGGGACTCATCAGGGCCTCCTCTTGCGATATCTGACCTGCAGTAGAAAATCCACGGGCCAAATGACCAAAACTGGGCACTTTAGCTTGTTTTTCCCGCATGAGGAAATCACTTTGCCCGCGTGAGAAGCAGTTCCGCCCCAAATTTTCTGCCAACATGGCACCCACATTTCTACGCTCCCCAGGGACCCCTCAGTGTCTTTCATTGCAATATCTGACCGGCGGTAGAAAATCCATGGGTCAGACACCCGATGGGCACTTCAGATTGGTTTGCCCGCCCAAGCTACAATTCTGCAGCGGTTTTCTGCCAAGACTCGCAGACACCTTCCCCATGACATTTGACCTGCCGCGGATCTGCGGCAGAGAATCTGCCAGCTAAATACCTGAAACTGGGCACTTCAGACTGTTTTGCCTGCGCAAGAGGCAATTCCGCACTGAATCTTTTTGCCAACATGCCACCCACATTGCTACGCTCCCCACGGACCCAGCAGTGCCTCTGTCTGCAATATCTGACCTAGAAAATCTGCCAGCCAAATGACCGAAACTGGGCACTTCAGATTGTTTTGCCTGCGCAAGAGGCAATTCCGCACTGGATTTTCTGCCACCATGCCCACCGAATTTTCTTCCAATATCCCATTGTTGTTCTTATGTTCCTACAAACCCAGGGACACTTTCACCAACATATTTGACCTGTCGCAGATCTCCAGCAGAAAGCTTGCTCACCGAATAACAAAATTTAATTAGTTCCAAAACATGCACACTCCCGTCATATCTACAAGTTTGTCTCCTTATATCTTGTACTTTTGAAACAGTTTAACCATTTCTATTCGGAAGAGCTAAAGCCACTGGAAGAGGTAGTCACAAGGAACATACAGCCGCTGACCTCCAACATACATGTGCTGCTCTACCCTAATTCTTCGGCTGCAACCTCCCAAACTATGTGACACACTCAAGGGAAAACTGGAGAAGAGAAAAGCAAGTGACATTTTCAGCCAACCAGGTTTCAAGTTTTTCACCAATATTTTCACCTGAAAAACTGGTGAATTTTGAGGTGGAAAAGTCGAAATAAAAAAATTCACATTTTTCACCGAAAAACTTGAATTCAAATATTTCAAGTTTTTCACCTCAGTTCCAAGTGAAAAATCTCTGAAAAATGTTTTAACTTTTTCAGTCGTATTCTTGGTGTAAAATGGGGTGAAAAAGAACATGTATATTTCATTACATTTTTCACCAAAAATTACAGTAGAAAACAATGTGATGATGATGATGATGAGATCTATAAGGTAACTACATACAGGCCGGAGTAGGCTACGGTAGTTTTTACAATACGCGGGTATGTAAGAGTCCAATTGGTATATAAGATGTCATGTTTTAGAGGAGAGAGATAAACGAGGCACGGAAAGTCGTTGGGGAGAAATGTATCGCGAGAGTTGTAAGATCGTAGAGATATTCACCAAGGTGGGGGTAACGCATGTCGCAGGAGGGTGTGAGGAGGAGTGAAGAGGTATTATGCGAGATGTATAGTAAATTCCGAGAC